GCCTCAGGCTGACGCCTGTTTGCTAAGCGTCTGGATGATACGCTTTGATCTCCCTGGCTGAACTTTAAAACATTCATCTTCGGTTCTGGCCTTTCTGACACTTTTTAACGTTTAAGTCCAACTCAGATCTTTCCAAGCTCCCCCCTGGAGTTATTTTATTTTATTTTTTTTACAGCACTAGTGGCTTGTTTTTCATACAGTAGGCTGACAGGAACGGGGGAATGAGAGAGACATTCGGGAAAGGACCATAGGCTGGATAAGGCCTCCGTTCATAATTCTTGCGCACTAGCCACTGCGCCACCTGGACGCCCTTTTACAGCTATTTGATAGCAGTATACCAAAGTGTTTTCTCTCTTCTTCTACAAAGTAGTGACTACACCTGGGTTAAAAAAAAAAAGAAAAAAAGAAAATCGATTCAAATAACCAGTTTAACTCTTTTGATGTGGGCAATTTAAAAAAAAAACAACAAAAAAAAAATAGATTTTTTTTTTTGTATAACACCAGAGTTTTGGTTCCCTAGAGCTTCCGTAGCAGCAGCATTGAGACTGGTTTATGCTCAGAAACCAGGTTGTGTGTCGCAGTTAACGCAGGTCCCCCGCCTTGGCAGTATCTACACCCACAGCTAGTTCCTGATTGTCCCTCTTATGTTGTGGCGTGGAATAACATAGTGCAGACCACGCTTCAAAATTGGGCATAACTAAATACTAAATATCCGCCACAGGCTCACTGCCATGGCCACGCCCCCATCACATGGCCACTGTCCTATTACCTACATGCTTACAGCCTGTATAACAAAGACATGACCACAGACTTTTTACATAGTCATGCCTCATGACATGGCCACGCCCCCATCACATGTCCACACTCCTGGAGGTTTCTTCCTGTTCAAAGGGAGTTTTTCCTCTCCACTGTCCCTACAAGCATGCTTAGTGTGAGGGATTGCTGAAGAGTGAATGAGTCGATGCAATCAGCTGGTTTTCCTTAGATAGAAAACTTTGAATCAATGTGACTGGATGATCTGGTGAACTGGAAAGTGTCTTGAGATGACTAAATTGGATTTAATTGCATTAACAGCTAGTCTGCCTGAGTTTTTAGTGTTGATAGAATAATGAAACCATTTGGGTTTCAGACCTTTACAATGCTCGAATCAAATGA